ATCCCTAACGGACACCACTTTGTATACGGAAGCTTTTGGAGAGCTCTCCGTACAGTCTCACACGTCCGGAAGTCTGAGAATACAACGAACGTATTATGTTTACAAATTTCCGGGGTATTCCGTGGTGGGCAAGCGTCCCAAAAAGAACAGACCGATCAACCGAGTTGAATGCGCCTCAGAAATCCAGGAATACTAGAATCGTGGGTCGCTTATACGTATGGCGTTGTTCTAGCACCTGACGCAGTGTGAAGATTTGGTCAACCCAACCCCTACCAGGCCGGAATCCCGCTTGCTGCTCTCGAGTCAATGTTTCACGACCCACCGTAAGCCGCCGAAAGCCGAGTGACTGCAACAGTTTTCTTGCGACCGGCCTCAAGCTGATCCCCCTGTGTTTGCCACACTCATTACGAGCCATTTTTTTAAATGGGCACTATCACCGACTCTTCTCAGTTGTCTGGGACAGATTCCGTTTCCCAAATGCAAGCGAACAGATCAGACAAGCGCTGACTGGGGACTTCACTCCAATCTTTGAACAATGCGGGTGGGAGGTCATTCGATCCAGAGGCTCGAAGGTGCATGAGGCAACGTATGCAGTCATAAATCTTCGAGGGTTTGGGCGGTCCACGATCACCGTCCAGGTTCCTGCGTCACCTATGTGCTCCCTATGAGTGTCAGCTGGTGGCCATTGTTGTTCGAAGTCTTCGGCCCAACGGTCGAGGCGTCTTTCTTTATTCTAGATGTTAACTCCGTTCCAATCCTTGATGGTTTTGCTCAAAGTTCGTTTTCCGGGAATTGTCGCATGGATCATTTGTAACGATCTTCGGGCATTACCGGCTTTCTGGGCCTCTTCCATTTCTTCGGCTTTCTATGTGCACCACACTTTACGGTCGGCTTGCACGCTCACTTTCACTTGACGTATGGTAATTCGTCGCATCAAGTTATGTTCGGAACCGCCTGTGATATTCCTCCGAGATTTAAGCCGTACCACCGTTCGGTCTGATGTCCATGGCTTGAGTGAGCCTGATGGTGTGCCGTGCCACAGGCAAAATTCTCAGCACTATGCAGAGATGTGGCAATCTCGTCCCAGTATGAGTTCGCATCTGATGGTGGTTCAGATACTGTGCAGATGTTGTGGCCTTCAAATATCGAGTAGTGTTCGAAGCCATAAGCTTCCGAATCCGGCAGCACATACAGAGAGGCTGTAGTTCCGCTCATCCGTCAATCATGAAGTCCATGCGATCGTGACTATTGAGCACTTCTCGTGTGGAGGCTAGTGTGACTTGTGGGTTGTTTTCCTTCCTCACCAGAGCAATGATTTGCAAATGGCAAAACCAGTTTGAAATTTCAAATAGGCATTTATGGTTGAAAGTGAATTCACCCTGTGGTGGAAAGTCTAGAACCACTATACACTTGTCTGATCCGTATTGAAGACGACTAGCAACGCGCGTCTAAATGCAAGCTAAGCTTCCACACACACAGCAGTCGCGAGCATTTGACGCTCTCCGATCACTTCATTAATACAACCAATCTGCATGGCCCTTCAGAGAATGTGAACTGTGAAAATCAGGAAACATGAGTGAAGCACTTTTGGCTTGTTTCTTTTGGTGAATGGAATTCTGTCGGATGAGCCATTTGTTTCTGTTGTATTCGTTCTCCTGTTTCACCTAACGTTTATCTATCCGCTTGATTCATTACTTTCCAGACGTGGTATTTTCTTCATCTGAGTTTAACGCATTTGCGCCTTTCACTACACTTTTCCGGCACTTTGCCTTTTCTGCTGTTTCCACTCAAACAACGCTGTAGGGCTGTGTAACCTACACTGAACGGTGTGTTCATTCTCGGGGTGGGTCAGTGTTAGCACACTTATCACCTTATGTAGTCTAAGCTGTTTCCTATGCCCGGGATGTGTCTTCGTTAGCTTGCTGTGTTTTTACTCGATCCCATATCCCGTTTCCAATAACATCAGCAACTGTCTGTGGGCATGTCTGTTATCCATGCTCACGTAATTGTATGTTCTGTTTGTCCGATTTCTGTTTGCTAATCGGTTGACTTCAACGTTTAGCTGCTGGATTTTGCTTCTATCGGTGGCATTACTTGCGCAACACGGCAGAGGAGATTCCGTCGGAGCTTACCTTTGATTTGACCTTATACTTTCGGTCGGCTTCCCTATGGCTAGCCTTTGGTATGTCCATTTTGTTTTGTTACCTGTATCTGTGTCGTTAGGATGCTTCGTTATTTGTATTGTAGTTTATCAGATGATTCTGCCGGAAATTTCTAGTAAACATTGTCTATGGAGGGATTGGGGTGAATTTGCAGATCCGGTGTTGTGCTCACACACTTCATCACAAAGACGTGATCAACCTTTGAGAACAATTCTACTAAACCACTAAAACTCGTGCAAATTTTGCCCGTTGTGTTTTTTTCAGACACAACTGCATTTATAATCCCAGGATAATAAAATGCAAGATACTGAAAAATTTCATTTCCCAAACATTTTCGTGATGATGCGTATGATCGAATAAAACCGATAAATTATATAATCAACATGAAGTCTAGGCCCCGATTTGCACTGAAAATGGTTCTCGTTTGAACGCCAAATATCGATTAGAAATCAAAGAATAATTCCTAGAGAAAAAACCGTCATTCACTCTCCTATCTATGTGTATTCCTTCACCGAGGTGCTTTTCGTGGAGGCCCAAGTATTTCTATAGGTGTGAGATAGCTGCACTATAGTCCATTGAAGATGTGGCCAGCACCAGAAGCTGCGTTGGTTGGGACATGTGTTGCGTGTGCCGAACCATCGTTTGCCGAAGAGAGTACTGTTTT